AAACATCTCCAACATTTGAACTAATCAACTCTGATTATGTACAGACGGGTCATGACCTGGTGCTTCTTTCCTCCTGTTGTTTTATAATTAGAGTAAACTCTACAACCATAGTCGAGACGACTACGAGCCAGAGGATCTCCAGTACTCAACGTAATTACTGGTTTAAACGTTGATGACACGATTCTACTTAGGATATATCAAATCAGCTATGAGACATGCCTCTTTATATCTAAGGTCTTTGTGTTTAATATGAAGCTCCAGCCAGCAGATGGTTAGCGATTTTTGAATGATCCTTCAAAGGGGTAAATAATTAAACCAAGATGTAAAATTCAGTATTTAAGCACAGAAAGACCATTAATCTTTTGTTCAGCTGGAGAATGATTTTCTCTGCCTTCTTCCTTCCTGTGATCTAAGTATCTTGTTCTTTTAATGCAGCTTGCGTCATGTTGTGTCTCAAGCGATCTGTGACGTAATATATGACTATAAATATTAAATCTTTTCCCTTTTAAAGGAGGATAGACGAGCAGTTCTTACTATTACTTATCTTCAGTCTAATTATTCACACCAAGTAGCTACTGACAGTCTGTTAGCACCAGTGTTAGCAAGTGAAATCCAAACATGGCTCCCCGTGGCTAACTGCATTCAAACTATCCGTCTTTCACGCTGTTGTTTTACCACATTGCTGTTGATTTTGTCGCATTAATCACGTTATATCTCGTCTCTCCTCTCAGGGCCTACACACCGCAGGGTTACAAGACTCCGACAGCTGAGAAAACCCGGCCGGTCCGAGCCGCTACGACCACACCCACTTCAGCTCAGTTAGGCTCCATCCCTCTGTCCAGCTCTGCCCCCAAGGCCTTATATGGGAAGAGCAGGCCGAGCGCCTGGCAGAACGAAGACAGCAGCCCGTCACCTTCAAACGCAACCACAACGTCCAGCTCCGACAGCAGCAGCAGCAAGAAGTACGTTAGCTTCAAAAGATCACAAGAGCTTTTATTCTGTTCCTGAACATCACAAATGTTTACTCGTTAAAACAAAGAGACTCGTCTCAACTGGATGATAAGGAGCATAAGTCTGTTCTTTTTCCTCTACTGTTAACCATCTCCTTATACGGGAGTAAGTTATTGTCAACATGGAACAGGTTCAAACACATCTTTAGTTTAAAACCAGTTACTGAAACAGTGACCAGTAAAAGTGCTGCAGGTTTTAATGGTTTCAGTCTCAGGTAGAAAACACGATTAAGAGAAAACAGATGCTATTCTTTGCGTTGTTGGTGCTCATGTCTTGTGTCTCCAGGCAGGTGGACACAAACTCAAAGAACGTGTTCGGACAACCTCGTCTCCGAGCGTCACTGAGGGACCTGCGTTCTCCGCGACGGACTTACAAAAGTACCATCGAAGACGACTTGAAGAAACTGATAATCATGGACAACCCGGGAGAGACGCCTCAAAGAGATCCGGTAAGGAACACACACCGACACTGACGAACCATTGAATCATTAAACAGTGTTACGTTGATGATGTTGATGATGCACACAGCTCTGATCTCTGTTACTTTCCTCCCCGCAGTCTCCCAGACGAACCCTGCAGCGCACCTTTTCAGACGAGTCACTGTGCAGCGGGCGCAGGGAGGCCAGCTTCGCCAACTCTGAGAACCAGACGACCCCCACTGACCTGTTCACCTGCACTCTGCCCGCACGCAGACACGCCCCCTCCTCCAACCACATGCAGAACAAGAAGGGTGAGTTTAAACTGCTGTCACCTTGTTTTCGTAACTTCTACAACCTTGAAGTGTGTGCTTTGTTTACTCACTGCTGTTTGTTGTCCTCCTGTCCCTCAGTGCCTCTGTCTGCCTCAGAACTGTCTCTCACAGAAGTTAGAGACAAAGTTCCCCCCCTGAGGAGGCTCGATCCCGGGCTGATGCCTCTTCCTGACACAGCCTGCGGACTGGAGTGGTCCAGCCTGGTCAACGCCGCTAAAGCCTACGAAGGTGAGGCTGGAGACACTTCACGATTAGGTTTGTTCAACTTAGGCTAAGTGTGGGAAGTGTAATATGTGGGGTTTTGTGGATTTTGTGAATTATAATAATCATAATTTGGACCCAAGATTGTTGAATTAGCAGCTGTGCTCAGGCAGGTTAGTGGAGGGTTTGGATGTACTCTGTTTAAACTGGTTGAAAGTCATTCAAAAAGCATTCACAACTGCTCACATTAACTTGGTTTTATTGTTCAATTTAATGCTAAACTGATCTAAAATTCCCCAAAATATAACTGATATCTTGTAATGAAGAATTTGCAACATTTAATTAAATAAAACGTGATTCAATAATTATAATTAACCTTTATAAAATCTTAAATCCCTGGTTGTTTGGTTGTGAGACATATTGACTGGATGTTGGGGGTTTATCCGTTTCACAACGTCTCGGCTCTCTCTTCTGTCACACGACACTCCTGGGAAAGAAACAGGAGATCTGTCTGTCCGCCTGCTCTGCTTCCCAGCCACTGTTTCTTTTCAGGGTCTCCCTCCTGTCCCTTGTGTCCCCTGCCACCACAAAGACGATCACCGCACAGACAAACACACTAAACTCAACCCAACACTTGATCCATAACCTTACCTGCTGCCCGGGCCTCCTGTGCCGAGGTCTGATTGTCTCGTGTGTCTCAAGGGACAGTCGGATAAAAAAGTCCGATTATGTGTCTCTGTTGCAGCACAAAGAGCAGTTTCCCTCTTCTCGCTGACTGAGCCGCAGGTTGGAGGTCCAGACATGAGACCAGTCGTCAGTCCAGTCCAGTTTCTCACTCCTCAGACACCTCGGACCACACCGACCTTCAGCGGGTAGGTCCAACCTCGCTGTGAGCAGCCAGAGGAACACAACTCCTCTAAATATGTTTTATGTCTTCTGTCCTGCTGTTGGCTTTATGACTGCTGCCACCTGGTGGTAATTTACTGTACTGTGGAACCGAATCCTCAGGTTGTTTACTCATCTGTGTATTCTCACTGGAGTTAACAGTTTGTTATTCGAGTTGTAGCATCAGTTCCTTTGCCAGAAACTGTTTATTTTGTCTCCCAGTGAGCAGTAACAAGATATTATTGAATCTGAAGATCTTCAGTTTAACAGTTTAACACACAAACACCAGTAAAACCTGTCCTTCCTAACCACCCACATAACCAGAACAGCAGTGGGTGTGTGTGTTTGTCTCAATACAAAGTAATGTGTGCTGTGTTTGTTGACAGGGACGAGGTGCCCAACGATCTGTCTGGTCGACTCTACCACCTGGAAGTGATGTTAAAACAGCTGAACAACGACCTGGAAAGAGTGAGAATCTTTTGTTTTTCACATTTTTTCCTTTATGAAACAGTTAAAAGTGGAAAGTTAACTCAGTTTAACCCATTATAAATGTATTATTTTTTATACTTTTACTTACGCTGTAATAAAGCAGCTGCTCAACAGATTCTCAGTTTATCTGGTTCATTTTGATGTAACTGTAATTTAAAGGAGTAATTTGACAAACTAAATCGTAACAGACTTCACCTCAACAGCACCTCTAAAGCTCTCTAATCAAAAACGACAAGTTGTGGTTATGTGGTGGCTAGCAGTTACCCTCAGTTTCCAGTCTTTGTGCTAAGCTAAGCTAACTTTCT